GTGCGGCCAGTCAGACTTCTTCGTCCTTCTTCCCCTTTCTATTTCCAATTTCGGACTATTGGTGGTAAACAGCTGTTTGTGCCTCCCGGAAGAGCCACAGTAACTCATTTCACAAAAGGGTTAAAGTTTCATTTGAATCACACAATACTGTGATAGGTTTGTNGGCCCCGGCCACGGCACATGCCCTATTTGCTCGTGCTGGCTGCGCGCAACTCCGCGGGCGCTGCTCGCAACGTATGTGTGCGGCCAGTCAGACTTCTTCGTCCTTCTTCCCCTTTCTATTTCCAATTTCGGACTATTGGTGGTAAACAGCTGTTTGTGCCTCCCGGAAGAGCCACAGTAACTCATTTCACAAAAGGGTTAAAGTTTCATTTGAATCACACAATACTGTGATAGGTTTGTCGCTCTCACTGCCGCGGGATGAGAGTCGTGTATTTCTTTAGCATTTGCGACGGCGTTTGGGATCCGTAGCCGCTGCCTCTTGTCTTCCTCGCCGTTGTTGTTCATTCATACGAACCCTACCTGCAAGAGGGGGGGTGTACTCAACAGTTGTGCATACAGGGGTGGGGTGGGGGGGCACTTTTGATGTGGTCCTCCGAGCGTACATACGTCTCTTACCGCAGTCTCCGCAGTACTCCCGTTAGGAATGATGTCTGAATATGTTATTTTGAATCACACAATGCTGTGCTATGTCGCCCTCGCTGGCGCGGGATGCGAGCCACGTGTTTTCTTAACCCCTCTGGGACTGGGCTCCTCCCAGCCCGCAAGGCGAGCAGCCTGGAAATGCGGCGGGACTATTCGAAAAATAGGGGGTCCGCAGAGCAGAAACGTCGCTTCTCTCAACTGAAAAAGAGACTTCTTGTCTAGAAGTCGAACCTGAGCAAAACACGCACGGCGGCCGTGTCGCCGCCTTCNAGGTTCGGGGTTTTGTTTCTATCATCCCCGGGTCGAAGAGACCGGGCTGACCGAGCACAAATATGAGAAACGATCATTTCCAGTGATCACCAAATTCCCGTTGGAGTCCCAGAAGGGTTAACTGTGTTCTCGACGACGTTTGGGATTNCTTTCACAAAAGGGTTAAAGTTTCATTTGAATCACACAATACTGTGATAGCTTTGTCGCTCTCACTGCCGCGGGATGAGAGTCGTGTATTTCTTTAGCATTTGCGACGGCGTTTGGGATCCGTAGCCGCTGCCTCTTGTCTTCCTCGCCGTTGTTGTTCATTCATACGAACCCTACCTGCAAGAGGGGGGGTGTACTCAACAGTTGTGCATGCAGGGGTGGGGTGGGGGAGTACTTTTGATGTGGTCCTCCAAGCGTACATACGTGTCTTACCGCAGTCTCCGCAGTACTCCCGTTAGGAATGATGTCTGAATATGTTATTTTGAATCACACAATGCTGTGCTATGTCGCCCTCGCTGGCGCGGGATGCGAGCCACGTGTTTTCTTAACTGTGTTCTCGACGACGTTTGGGATCTGTGTGGCTACTGCCTCTTGTCTTCGCCGTTATTGTGTATTCATATAGATACGAAATCTCGAAGGGGGGATTGGGCGTTTCCATGTGGTGCTCGGAGCGTAGATACGTCTTGCAGTCTTGGCAGTACTCCTGTCTTTGCTATCATGTCTTGCTGTTTTCTATAATATCTTACCTACAATGCTGTGATGGGTCGCTTTCGCTGGCGCGGGATGCGAGCCACGTGTTTTCTTATCTGCGTCTGCAACGGCGTTTGGGATCTGTGTGGCTACTGCCTCTTTTCTTCTTGTCCGTTTTCATGTTGTTTTCACATGCAGTCGAACCCTAGCAAGGGGGCGGGGGCGTTTTTACGTGGTGTTCGGAGCGTAGATACTATACCGCAGTACTCCTGTTAAGCATGATGTCTTGCCGTTTTCTTTATAGTCATACAGTGCTGCGATGTGTCGCTCTCGCTGGCGCGGGATGCGAGTCGAGGGTTTTCTTTACTGCGTGTGCGACGGCTTTTGGGATATGTGTGGCTTCTGCCTCTTGTCCTCTTCGCCTTTTTTATTTTTCATTATTGATACTTTACGAGCCCTAGGGGGGCGTCGTAAGTTCTTCGAGCAATGCGGCTTTGGGGGCGAAACGTAAAAGGTCACATATTGTTGGGAGAGGACTTTTTTTAGCTAACCTTGTGCATCATCTCCATGACGGACTTCGCTGGTGGTGCGGTGGAAATTCGATGTTGTACGAGTATAATTCTAGTTGAAATATTCCAGTGAGTTTCATGCCCGCATCAGAAGAAAAAAAATGGAGAAATACATGTGAAAAACACAAGTGGCAGGGGGGATTGAACCCGCTCCCACAAGACTCCAAGTATCTAGGCGACCGGCTTGTAGGCAGTGGACCAACCTCCAACAGAGGGTACACCTTGCGCTACCATCGGCAACCTGCCACCTTATCGGCTTGTAAGTAGTGAGCCAACCTGCAAGAAAGGGTACACCTTGTGCTGCGTTCGGAAACCTGCCCCCTACTCGGCTTGTAGGTAGTGAGCCAACCTGCAAGAAAGGGTACACCTTGTGCTGCGTTCGGCAACCTGCCCCCTACTCGGCTTGTGGGTAGTGAGCCAACCTGCAAGAAAGGGTACACCTTGTGCTTCGTTCGGCAACCTGCCCCCTACTCGGCCTGTAAGTAGTGAGCCAACCTGCAAGAAAGGGTACACCTTGTTGTGCTGCCATCGGCAACTTGGCCCCTCTCCAGCTTGCGAGCAGTCGGCCAACATGCAAGGAAGGGTACACCTTGCGCCGCCATCGGCAGTCCGCCCCCTGTCCAGCTTGCTAGCAGTGCACTAACCATCAAGAAAAGGTACACTTGCACCGACAATGGCAATCTAGCCCCAATCCGGANCCTACTCGGCTTGTGGGTAGTGAGCCAACCTGCAAGAAAGGGTACACCTTGTGCTTCGTTCGGCAACCTGCCCCCTACTCGGCCTGTAAGTAGTGAGCCAACCTGCAAGAAAGGGTACACCTTGTTGTGCTGCCATCGGCAACTTGGCCCCTCTCCAGCTTGCGAGCAGTCGGCCAACATGCAAGGAAGGGTACACCTTGCGCCGCCATCGGCAGTCCGCCCCCTGTCCAGCTTGCTAGCAGTGCACCAACCATCAAGAAAAGGTACACTTACACCGACAATGGCAATCTAGCCCCAATCCGGATTGTCCGCAGTGCGCAACCCCCAAGCAAGGTGTACCTTGCACAACTTGGCCATCATTGCATTGCGAGGACTACCCAAGTTGGGGAGGTTGCAACTCGTGCCAAAATAAATCTCAATTCAGGTTGGCAAAAGTGCCCCTTCAACCCGTGTACACAGCCGTACACGATATGAGTTGTCAATAGCTTCGACAAAGCACGATAATTTGGAATCAGGAGTGAGTGGTCATTTTTTATTTACATGGTTGGGGATGGCGGCCGGTACGACGGTTCGTATTTACTGATAGGTTCCAGAGCAACAGGAGGAAGTACCGCGAGTTATCGCGAGGTGGTGCAAGTATGTACAAGCATTAACTATTTTAGTGCTTCTGGGCTTCCACGGCAGCAGTATTGCGGCTTTTGGTTTGCAGTTTGCTGCCTTTGGTACTGTTCGTAGGTCACTTGATGTGTAATTTTGTCAGTCAACGTGTCGGCGCTCGAAGCGTGACGAACGCAAAGGTGTTTTGTGTCATGTATGTATCGTTCGCTGCTCACGGATGGGGCGAAGAACAACTATTACNGTGTCGGCGCTCGAAGCGTGACGAACGCAAAGGTGTTTTGTGTCATGTATCGTTCGCTGCTCACGGATGGGGCGAAGAACAACTATTACTTTGAAACAATTGTGGAAAGGTGTAAAGACCGGCGCCCATCTTGATGGAACAACACACATTCGTTCATGACTACAGCCTATCCTCTGTTTTGACGTCGTGTCTGCCAAGCATGCGCACAGTTTGCTGNCACACATTCGTTCATGACTACAGCCTATCCTCTGTTTTGACGTCGTGTCTACCAAGCATGCGCACAGTTTGCTGTTCGACATGCCGTTCGTGGCGATGCACATGGTTCGATTGAACGAGCATGCATCGTCTCATGCTTCGAACATGCTTGTTTGCACTAACACTACTCGGAAAAATTGATCGGAAGTATGTTGTTCCTTATTACTTCGTAGTTCTTCACATGAAAAGAAAAAAACATGCTGCAGCCTCCGCTCAGTACCGTCTGACATCCGTACCCGTCTGGCTCGAACGCCGGCCATGGTCACAGGCCAGCAACCCCACCAAGGGTACACGCATCCCAAATGAGTTGGGTAACAAAGCGAACAAAATCAGACAACACAAGAAAACGCCCCCTACCCGCCAGACATCGCTGGCGTCATGTCGGGCAAAGACAACTTACAAAACAGCCGATAGCTCGATAGCTCCCGCTGGCACGAGCTCCCAACAAACACCAACAACATGATGACACAGATAACCAATCAAGACAATGCATTTGCTTCAACCTTTGTACCCTATTAGACCGGAGTGTAGTCACCCAGGGGCTGTTGCAACCTTCACAACCTCGCCGACGGGTACCTTCATGTGCGGGGGGGGGGGAGGTAACACATGAAACTGGCTAGCCACATCTCCCCCGGACTTCTAGTTCTCCATTCCAAGCACAAGCAGTCGAGACCGGGGCATTCCAAGCACAAATCGAGACAGGGTCGATATTTCTCGGCACCCCCACAGGAACGCGGAGCTCCCGAGACCAATGCTGCGTCGAGAAAGCATGACCAACGAAAAAACATTCGCCCTTTGACCCTGATACAAAAGCAGTGCGCCTTAGGCGCGACGTTGAACACACCAACTAACTACAGTACTTTGCCACACGCCAACATGTCAAATTATGTAGGTCTTGCGAGGGACGGCTGCCACCACTAACTCGAGAACGCCTCAACCACAGAGGCGTCCAATTCGCCGCTTCCAGGCCACAACGCACGGCAAGCGTGCGTGAAACACTCCTCCCTCTTCAGCTGCACTCCTTGGCCACGGGCGTTCATGGCCATCGCCCAGTCGTAGCAAACCTGTGGCATTACATGCAATGACCCGAGTACACACGTCATGCGTAGGAGCTATAGAACTCTAGTCTATACATGTACACATTCAAGGAGCATGTCCATCAGCCTTCACTGCTGTGAACCTATTGATCGGCGTTGCAAGGCGACACGCTTCTTGCAACTCGGCTTCTTACAATAGGGTGGTGACGGGTGCATTTTCACGATGTTCGCCGCGCGCGCACAGCTCTACCGTTTCACCATTTGCGGAGTGTAGGACAACAGACAAAAGGGGGAAAAACAACATCAATAATACAGAACATCGTCCAGCAGTATACATCAGCAGTATACATACATCGTCTACGACGCGTGTCACACAGCAGGCGCGTGCACAGCAGGCGCGAACTCTAAACAGCTGGTCAATGGGCAGCAGGACAGACGGACTTTGTACATGCATACCTACGCATAGACATGTTCGTGAGTCTGCGAATTGCTGTTGGATACATGTGCTGGATGATTTTGTGTCACGCAGACTGGTAAGATAACCGTTTGATAGGGGGCACCGCGATGATTCACGGGGCCCCTCCTTGCTGTGGGAGCCGCTCTTTGAGCACTCCCTCTTTCGTCCGTGTGAAGGACGGTCGTCTACCTCCCGTGAAGTTAATACATCACCAAAACAGTCTCACCCGATAAATAAGTGGCGTAGGCCGCAAACACTCTAGAGTTTTCCCCTTCGAGGGAAGCCACATCGGGATGAGCTCTGCTGGAGACGAAGGGCGCGCTGCTGCGAGTGGAGAACAGATCCGCCCGCCAATGCAGGAGGGCCGCGACGCGGAGCTTGCAAGTTTGCAACGGCAGATTTCGCAATTGGCGGCCCTGGTGGAGGAGTCGGTGAAGAAGAAGGAGCCTGG